TGCTCCACCGTCACATGCGTTACGAGTTCGTGCATGGTGCTGTAAGTTTTCGAGCAAAGTTTCTTCGGCGAGTGCTCCGGCTCCAGCCACTTGCAGATCAGCTCTTGCTTTATCGGCTGCCTCATGTAGCGGAAAAAAGCACCGGCTCCGTGGTGGTGGTGGTGGTGAGCGCTCAGATTCATGTTCAGATTCAGACCACCGTAGCCATGCAAAGGCGAGGCGGAGAACGGATCAGCCCTGGAGCTTGCCACTTGACTCAAGTGATCAGACCTAACGTACATTTCTCCAGGTAGTCCTAACCTTATTTGTCCATTCAGTGCCTGGCCACCCGGTGATCCGCTAGAAGGCTGCTCGTGATGGAGTCCGGAGAAGAGGGTATGGTTCCCAGCGTCAGGGTGATGACCATAGTGTCCGGGATAGCTACCTGTTGTTGAGACAAACATTCCGTGGTGAGAGGCTGAACCAGCAGTCTGGTCAGTCAGTACGGGCATGGCTTGAGCTGTCAGATCTCTCCGGATGAGGAAATCCCTACCTGCGGATAAAGCCTGGGCCGTGTGAGACATAGAATACGGGACCGATGTCGCCTGAACCGGGCCAAAAGCTCCCGTTTGACTGGAGACCACTTCACTGTGGCCTGCCATATGATGATTGTGGTGGTGGTGATGGTGGTGGGGATAATGATGGGCTGGGCTGATTTTGAGGGCCGCGGAGTGCCCCATGTGTTCTGGCCCGAATGGACTCGGCCCCAGGCGGGGTTCCGCAGTAATCTCCCCAGGGTGCGAGTGAGCCATTGAGTGTGGATGGCTGCTGAACCCCGGGAAGCCTGTCACGCTCTGAGGGGTATGGTGGTGATGATGGTGATGGTGGTGAGCCCCTGCCAAGTCAACTAATCTCAGCGCCGTGTTCCGTTTGGAAAACGTAGGGTCCATCACGGGGCTTCCCAATGCATCCACGCTCATTACTTCCTAATTTTAGAATAACTTGACAGCAGGCAAAATAATAATGATGATGACAAATATATTTTAATCGCAATGAAAAATAAAGAAAAAAAAACTTTTTAAAGTTAAGTCTATCTGCAGACTACATGGAATCCCATTCGGTTGAGAGGCAGCAGCAGGACGCTTTGATACTGAATAGAGATTCATGGTAGGCGCTGCAGCCCGTGGAGCTAAACAATCACCCTGCGCTCTAATTGGTCAGAGCTCTGTGATTGACGTCACCAGTGACAGTTTCCAACGTGAAGAAAAATGTCTTAGTGACAGCGAGCAGCCAGCACGCATGCGCAGTGCCTCGGGCAACGCTTGAGAAAAATAGTTGTTATGCAAAGGTTGTTGTACAATAAAAGTCCTAAAAAGTTGATCCAGATATACAGTCGCCTTTCTTTTGTCGCAGCGAACAAAGGCTGCGCGGCTATGAAATAGCAATTTCCCCACTCTGATTTCGCGATTACAAAACAGACTGCCTCGCAAGAGTACGCATATTGTCACTATAAAAGTTGTAAGGATCATAAATAATGCAGTGACATCTTCATTTTGCACCGAAACGTATGAAGGACAACTTTACGCACAAATTACGCATAGCTTTACGCACGCAAAAAGGTCTCGTGTCAACGGAGAAAAAAACTTGGGCAATGGGAAACTCCATGTGCGAGTCAAAAACGGTCCGGAGCACATAGCATTAATATACGCTTTGATAAATGCCCATATTTACATATCCAGCCGTTTGCCCTTCAGCGCGTAACTGCAGCGTTGACTCCGTGCTCTGCCTGGTGGGATCCGTGTGTGTAGAATGTGTGAATAGGGCGAGCTGCGGCCATTGTCCCGAGGAAAAAAATGTAATGGACGGGACCTGTTGTTATGATCCGGGGTAATTTTGCTTTAGACCCTGGACGGCAGCAGATGAGGGTCACAGGAGGTGGTGCCGTTGCAGACTTAAGTTCAAAATAAAACGTGTGTGTACTGTAAGTATGAGTTACTCCAATCTTATACTGGTGGATAAAACTCTTTTTTTTCCCCGCCTTTTTTGATTTATTTATTTATTTAGACTGTTTTAAAAGAAAGACAACATTTGGTATGGATGAGAACACGGTGCCGTAGATTTTTATATATTGTCTGCCACTGATGTTTTATTTCACCTGAGTTTGTCTTTTTAAACCGTCAGCCGCTGAAGTGGAGCGTTTAAAAGCTGTGTAGTGCGTAAAATGCTGATTAATGTGTGGATGTTAGTGCGCACGGATTTTCAGTCTTCAGCACGGTTTTCTGTGGAACAACCTCGCATGGTGGAAACTCTAAGAATTTTCCTAAAATATCACAACTAATATATTTGGAATATTTTTCATGTCTTGTAATTTTTTCCCTTAGTTTTTTTATTTTTAAAGTTTTTAAGTTATGTTCTGCGTGTGTTGTAACTGTGTGGACAAGTGGATATTTTCTTCTTGTCTTTCACCTTTTTTTTTATTTATTTATTTTTTGAATGTTTGGACTGACTTTAATATTTGCAGTTGCAGACAAAAGAGCAAATTACTGCGTGAAGTGACCTTAAAGAAGGTCACAGCCACATATAGTACTGATCAATTAGATGTGAAGTGCTTTTCAAAGTGTGAGTCTATGTGACAGTGATCATAAGTAATTTGTCAAGGGTGCAAGACCACAATGCAAATTTATTGTCACAGTCGCTCGTCAGTATTTCAACCTTCCCCACGCTTTATTGTATTATTATTATTATTTTCGTTGATAGGAGATTAATATGAAGTTCTGCTTTTACATGAGTGAATGTGTCGTTTTCACATACAGTACCTAAAATAAAGACCATGTCAGGGTTTGGTGTAAAATAAAAAGGAGACTCCTCATTAGGCGAGCTTTTTTTTTTTTTTTTTTTTTTTTGGATGAGGGGGAAAAAATAGTTTTAAAACTGCATCCCTCTCGCTTATTTCTATGAATTGACTTGTCAAAATCTTTGCTGACAGCATCATATCCAGCACGTTAGAAATTGAATCAATATTTTGAGAGATGACGGATCCAAAAAGATGTTTATTAAATAGCCTTTACCCATGGGGTTCATGAGGCTCACAGCTGTAGACTTCAGAGGCATCACAGCACCAGCGTAATGCAAAACTTTGAAGTGCTATTTCTGTTCCAAGTTGTGCGTGCACTCACTCACTCTTAAAGACAAGTGAGCAGGGGAGTTGTATGAGATCCCAAACAAAAAAAGGAAAAAAAAAAAAAAAAGCATAATATTGCAGCGAGGTCTCATAACACATCGCTTTTTTTGTTGCTGCTTTGGCTTCGTTACCTTCACTGTAAATCCTAAATGGCTCCTGCACATTAGGATCATAACACTAATCGGTTATTGGCCTTTTAATTAGGATGCATCTTTTACGCATTGGAATCAAATATGCTGCATTCGTTTGGAGGCACATAAGAAACTTCCAAAGTTTACGCACGGTTCCTTTTTTTTCTTGGCACACTATTTCCAATTTAGCCTCACTTGTTGCAATTCTGAGTGTGTGACCTCCAGTTTTGACTCCTCCGTTGTTGTTTTTTTCCCCCACAGTAATGTGCCTTTCTTACCGTTTTCCACCTGTTGAAAGATCCCTCCAAAATTTTGTAAAGCACAATAGTGGGGGCACGTTAACCAAAAAAAAAAAGGAAAGAAAAAAAAAGAGAAGAAGAAGAAGTCGGATCAAGTTGTAGGTCTACTTGTTAAGTTGAGAACAACAAAACTTCCTCTCTTTCCTTGGTCTCCTAAGACTGACTTGGAGGATGCCTTGCAGAAACTAGTCTAGTAGCCAAGAAGATATTTTAATGGTTCGCATGGCACGTCTGTGCATGTGGCTTTGAACTCTAGCAGCCGGAGGTTCCTGCAGAGAGCGCCGCAAATCCCACTTGATAACTTCGACAACCCACAACGTTTTACACACAGGCTATGCATCACTGGCCTGCACATGAAGAAGAAGAAGAAAAAAAATGAGTAAGTTGCACCAGCATGGCCAAACCGTGATGGATACATTAGGCATAGTAGTAGATCCAAGTTAAATACTGGCCTATATATATATATGTATTCAAGTCAAGCCCTTCATGAACGTGGAGGCTGCTGGTGAGCGTGATGTGGAAATCTAAAGCACAGATGTTCCACTGGTGTGAGCTCCACTGGACGGAGGAGCACTTCTACTTCTTTTTTTTTTTCTTCTTTTGAAAAAGGGGAGACAGAAAACAGAGTGCGCACAAGAAGCAGAAAACAAAACGTTATGTGGACTCCTTTTGAAGTGAACGAGATAAACTGCTCATAAAAGGGCCTTTAAGGGAGTGATGACTTTATATTAAAGCTCGTTAAATTCATCTCTTCGCAACAGAGTGAGGCTGCACGGTGAGGTTTGTTTACTGTCCTGACTCTTGCCCATGTACAATAAATTAGATCAGTGTCATATAATTTGTCTTTATCTAATCCAGACAGACGCTTTAATTCAGCCTATGTATGTAGATTGATGTATCCGAGTGCTTAATTGTACAAAACGTTACCAATTATACAACAATAGGACGTGCTTGGTAATCTAATGGCCCCAGGTTAACAAAGACAATCATTTGCTTTATAATCTGTCTGCAGAACGTGGCTGCAAAACGTGCTTTCACTTTCTTTCTCTCCACCAGGCCATTTGTTGTCTTGTGTTTCCCCCCAACTTTTTTTTTTTTTGTGTGTGTTGTTTTTCTGTTATTCAGCCTTTTAACCAAATTCACAGTTAGCAATCTCACAATATCTGGGATTGATGATGCAAAGAGGCCAATAGAAGTGTGGGCCCTGCACCGTGGATTGTTATTTGGTGAGTGGATGTTATTGGGGGGAAAGGGGCTGCGCCAATGAGCGCGCACCGCCGCGGCCACGTGACTACCCCCCTCCTCTCCCATTCATCAGGGCTGGACTGTGTTGTCTTTTCAATTCATTTATCTGCAGGAATGATTGCGACTATCAGTCTAGAGCTCACCGCCTGACTGAGGAGGTGAAAGTTGCGCCACAGGAAGATAAACCGCAAAAGACAATATTGCATGTATACATGATTTTGCGTGCGCATCGGATGAGCGGTATAGGGGAATTCCTCGCGTCTTGAGAAGAGAGAGAAGAAGAAGAGAAAAAAAAAGTAAACAGAAAATCGGTGGATTTGAGAGTTTTGCTCAGTCCAGTGAGGTCCAAGAAGACACAAGAGAGAGGGGGGAGGAAGAATATCTGTGCGTGGTTTTTTGATTTCTGCTCTCAGTCGTCTCGGCGAGTCTAGACTGAAGATGCTCTTGGACGCCGGACCGCAGTATCCCACCATAGGAGTCACTACTTTCGGCTCCTCGCGGCATCACTCAACAGGCGAAGTCACAGAGCGAGAAGTGGCGTTGGGGATAAATCCGTTCGCAGATGGGATGGGCGCCTTCAAAATCAACCACAGCTCCCACGATATTGGCTCCGGACAGACGGCGTTTTCCTCCCAGGCGCCCGGTTACGCAGCAGCCGCCTTGGGACACCATCACCACCCGACCCACGTTGGCTCTTACTCCACGGCGGCTTTCAACTCCACCAGGGACTTTCTGTTCAGAAATCGGGGTTTCGGGGATGCCACCGGGGCGCAGCACAGTTTGTTCGCCTCGGGAAGTTTCGCAGGGCCACACGGACACTCAGATGCGGCGGGGCACCTGCTCTTCCCGGGGCTCCACGAGCAGGCGGCGAGCCACGCGTCTTCCAACGTGGTCAACAGCCAGATGCGGCTGGGCTTCTCGGGGGACATGTACGGACGCGCCGAGCAGTACGGCCACGTTACGAGCCCCAGGTCCGACCACTACGCATCGACCCAGCTGCACGGCTACGGCCCCATGAACATGAATATGGCCGCGCACCACGGTGCAGGGGCCTTCTTTCGGTACATGAGGCAGCCGATCAAGCAAGAGCTCATCTGCAAGTGGATCGAGCCGGAGCAGCTGACGAATCCCAAAAAGTCGTGCAACAAAACTTTCAGCACGATGCACGAGCTGGTGACCCATCTGACGGTGGAGCATGTGGGGGGACCGGAGCAGACCAACCACATTTGCTTCTGGGAGGACTGCTCCCGAGAAGGGAAGCCGTTCAAAGCCAAATACAAACTTGTGAATCATATCAGAGTACACACCGGAGAAAAGCCCTTTCCGTGCCCGTTCCCCGGCTGTGGCAAAGTATTTGCTCGATCGGAAAATCTAAAAATTCACAAAAGGACTCACACCGGTAAGATCCGCACAGATTTGACCGCTTCTTTTTTTTCTCTCTCTGCAAGTGCCAGATCTGTGACTGAGTATATCTCATCCAAAAATATGCATGCGATCCGGGTTATTATCTGTGAGGCAGCTGGAGTTGCTGCTCTGACATGTGCAGCTGTCGATAAAAAAAATATTTCACCGGCTGTATATTATAGATGAAAAGCCTTATTTGTGGTAGATAATTTAATTAATTACAATCAAAGAAATCTAAATTATTTCCAGCATAAATAAAGAAGATAACACTCTCTGACAAATGTTTTAAAAAAATAACATTTCCCTCCTTAATTCTTCACTATTATTAAACTTACTGCTTGAATCCTGAAACTAAATCATCTGATTGTTTTTTTAAAAAAGGAAAAAATCCAAACCAATTGCTGAACTCTTGTTATTTATGATTGCCTCATTTAGGTGAGAAGCCTTTTAAGTGTGAATTTGAAGGCTGCGACAGGCGATTTGCAAACAGCAGCGACCGCAAGAAACACATGCACGTCCACACGTCGGACAAACCCTATCTCTGCAAAATGTGCGACAAGTCATACACACATCCCAGCTCCCTCCGAAAACACATGAAGGTAAGAGTTTTTTTTGTATTTCCCCTCCTCAGTGTGTGAAAAAAATTAAATTTCAAGCTGGTATTTATTTTTTTTTTTTTGCAGCTTTAGGTCTCCACTGGAAATGAAGATGTAAATATTTATCTTGTTTGATTTTGTACAGAACAGATTCCAGCTTTTATTCGTTCTTAATTTGCCATGACACTTTCTTTTTCTATCTTTTCCCCCTCCTCCTCCTCCTCCTCCAACCCCCCAACCGACAAATCAGATTAAGATCTTAATGAGAATAATTATGTTTTGGGTATTTTTTTTTTTTTGTAGAATTCTGTCAGATTTAGTTTTAATTTGTTTTTGATGGAATTCTTGCGCACACACTCTCTCTCCTTCTCTGTTTTCTTTTTAAATACATTTCCCCCCTCTCTTCTCTTTCTTATTACTGCAGGTCCACGAATCCACCAATCCAGGATCGCAGCCATCTCCAGCCGCCAGTTCGGGGTACGAGTCGTCCACACCGCCCACCATAGTATCACCGTCCACAGAGAACCAGAGCAGCAGCTCCATATCACCAGCAGCCTCAGCAGTCCACCACACAACCAGCCACAGCACGCTGTCGTCAAATTTCAATGAATGGTACGTGTAAATATTTTTGAAAAGGAAAAAAAAAAAGAGAAAGAGACAGAAAGAGAGAGAGAGAGCGAGCGCAAAAATAAAAAAAGACTCGCAGAATTTAATAAGAGAAAAAAACAAACTGCTTGGAATCAGAGACTCCATAAAGTCAGCCAGTGGACTGAGAAAACACGGGAGGCCCAAACGATCAATTAAAGGCTGTCTTTAATGAAAGAGAATGCATGGACTTAAAAAGGAAGGAGGCGAGGACAGCCACCAACTTTTTTTTTTTCTTCTCTCTCCTCTCCCCCCCTTCGATATTTCTTTATTTTTACTGAGAGACTTGCTCAACAAAAAAAAAGAGAGATCTCAGAAAAAAAAGCATGCTATCTGCGGGTAGAGGCCTGACCTTTTTCTTTTTTTGTTTTGTTTTTTGTACATAAAGGATTTCACCCAAGTTGGAGGAAGAAAAAAAGTGTAATATTTTATTGTGTAAATATCACAGTTTAAGGGAAAAATTTGTGACAAATGTGGTCCCTAGATATATGGAAAAATGAGATGGTTTTAAAGAATATTGCGATGAATAGACTTCATTGAAAAGAATGTTATAGTTGTGTACCAAATGTGAATTATTCAGTATTACTACAGTCTACACGTCGACCTAACCGACTCTTAGTATTAATGTGCTTTTGTAGCCTATTCAGTGCAAACATTTTCGTCCAAGGTCCAGTTTGAGTAGCACCAGTATCATTGTTGTTATTTAATGTCATGTCGAAGAGAAAAAAAAAAATAAGTCGTGTAGTGAAAGCCTGAAATTCCGTGTCAATCTGTTTATGTACGTGATAAATATAAAAAAAAGAAAAAAAATTCTCTTGTCAATTGCTTTGTCTGAAAGGAAGTATTATTACATGTAAGTAGCTCAATTTTCCATATTTATCCGCATGTAAAGGACCGGTAACATGTTAGAAATGATCGGTATTTATGGAGAAATGCGCTCGTATGTAAAATTTAGTTTACAACAACAACAACAAAAAAAAAATGTTTGGATACATTTCGTACTATATTAAAGGATTAAAAAATACAATAATGCAAATGCGTTGGAGGTTATTGGGTTTTATGTTTCCAATGGGTTCTTCTATATATATATCTATTTTTTAAAACCAAAAACCAGCAGAATAATCCATTTAAACTCGATGAGGGATTGTTGCATAATTTTAACTCTTTGCTGTGCATGCTTTTGCAAGTGTGTGTGTGAGAGTGTGTGTGTGTGTGCAATTTAAAAGGTTGGTTTTAAACGCACTGTCACAACTTTCCTAATAAGTAAATCTACTTCCTCCCCCCCTCCTCTTTTTTTTGTGCATCTTCTGTTTATCCAAAATTAACATCCAACACTTTGCCCTCCAGTAATGTGCAAATTAAATCGATTAATCACGGCGGTTGTTCCTTCAGTGCAAACCAGGATTTCTTTTTTTTTTTTTTTCGTGCGTAATTGTTGGAGAATCTAATTTTCAAATCTAATTTATTTTCTTTTTTCTGTGCGTTTTTCTTTTTTTTTTTTGGTCGGATTTTCGTAGATTTTAGGCAGCAGAGTTTGGATGGGGGGGAGTCAGTGTTGTTCTCCCCCCTCCTCACCTCCCTCCCTTCCCTCCCGATCATCTCACCCCCCCTCCCTCCTCTCCACCCTCCCACATCATTGTTCCTGGCTGCAGCTTGCTTGACCGCCCCATTAGGCAGAGATCACATCAGCAGCCGCCACTGATCATGGTTAACACTGCCAGTGCGCAGCGGAGCCACGATCTGTCAGTCTGCAGCTTTGTCAAAAAACTGCTACACACACACACACGTAAAAAAAAAAGAAACACACAGGAGCGATTTTAACCTTAAGAAATGTACACATGGCAGGAGGAGGAGGAGGAGGAGGAAGAGGAGGCGTGCGTGGGTACGTGCGCGCCGTTTATATCTCCAAAAATATATATTTAAAACAAAAAAAAAAAAAAACCCAAAGCGACTCCCACCATCTTTAGATGATTTGTCGAAATGTATTGAAATGTATTCATATTTTCTTTTCACGGACTATTAAATTTGGAGATAAATGAAGGATGGTAATAAAATGACTTTTTCGACTCTATTTAACACTATCTATCTGCTTTCCAGTGCAGATGCTTCACTCGTGCAATTCTATGGAAAGGCAAAAAAAAATAAAAAATAATAACAATAATACTAAAAAGCACCGCCATGTGAATTCGTTTGAGGGGAGAAAAAATAAAAAAGTCACTTTGCAGCTTTATAGAAAAATCTTCACATGTAACTGGAAATATAAATAGTTTAAAGCAGATGTGTTAAAACGAGCTCATATAGTTTGTGCTGCTGGTTCTGGTGGTGCTGGTGGACACATGAATTTTATTTAAATGCATGGCAAATTTACAAATGCACAGATAGCAGCTAAATCCATCCAACACCAGTTAAGAAAAAAAGTTACAATTATGAGTCCAGAGCAGCAATAATGATGGAAAAATACTCTGCTAGAATAGATTTGTTTGGATTATTTGCCTCATTATGGCTGCAGGCTTGAGCTCATAGTTTATCCTGCTTTTATTTTATCCCCTGCACATGTTTTTACTAAAATACAACATTTTCTTTTTAGCCAGATAAACAACCCCACGCTGCGCCTTTTGCGCGCCAATGCGAGTGAATGAATGCAAAGCATGGACCTTAACTACGCCGCTTAATTCTCTCTTCTTTTTTTTACATCATGGTTCTGGTCGTGTTACTTTACGCTGAACCTAAACACGGTGTCGAAAATAAAACGCTCGTAAAGAGAAGAGTCGACGACAGGCTGCGGCGCGTCTCTCCTATCACGCAACGGAGCCGATGGTGACACCAGATCAAATAGGAGCGCAGCAAAAACATCCACTTTAAATGTATTTACGCTCAAGTCTGGAAATGACAAACACTCAGATATCGGGAAAGCGCAGGCGCCAGCATCATGAATATTTATCACCAGCACTTGTGGCCAGTAAACCGAGCCTGACGTTTGTGTTACCAAGGTAGACACTGCTGCAGCTTATCTGCGCATCAAATATCAGGGCAGGATGGTGGCTCAGCTTTTCCATTTTACGCATTTAAAAGTCAAAATTGTCTGTTTTTTTTTTTTTTACTGCAACCAGCGTGGATGGTGGATGCATGGGTGGAGGCTATCATGACAAAGGTTGGAAAAAGCAAGCAGCAGATTTATTTTTCGGGCAATTGTGGCTGCATTTTTCTAAGATCTGATTGGCCTTAATGACTTTTTGGACCTGGCTGGCTTTTTTTTTTCGCTTTTTTTTTCTGGAGAGCTCCCTCTTCAGAGTCAACCTGGCTGTCCTTTGTATGTGCAGATAAATGCAACTTTTCTCCCCCCCCCTCTCAGAACCTGCAGCCACTGGCACGTGGAGCAGAGCCTATAGTCTACCATTAGAGAAGGGCTATAATCTGGGCTCCTTGATGGATGAGATGCCCATGCTTTTGCCAGCGCTCTGATCTGCATGCCCAGCTGCCGCCACTCAATGAGGAACTAAATCGATAAGTTAAACATTCGCAGTTGGGTTTAACTATTAAGTTTCTGGCAGGAGAGGGACATGTGATCTCTATTTTTAACTGCTCAAAAAACTTAAGAGGCGACGCCCCAAGTTGCAAGTCATGAAATAACTTGCAAAAACGGTATCCTACAGTCTCCATCTGCTCAGCTTAACAGTCCTAATACAAAAAAAGGGTCAAATTCAAGTCAAGGCCACTTTAGTTTATTGGCTTGCAGACATTTCCAAACGCCTCCAAGAAACCCTGTCTTCTTTGCAGCCATAAAACGATTTCATTGCCAGAGTCTGGGTAATGGAGCAATCCATCCCACAGTGAACATCTAAGTTTGCATACAACGATAATCCAGACGTTGATTTTATAGAAAATGATTTATAATCTCCATGCACACTGAGTGACTGGACGGAATGCACAGACCCAGTCGGGTATTTTGTTCCTTTTTTTAAGTTCTGAAACGTGACTTTAGGAATTTTATTTCATTACTGGCTTCAGCCAGCCTCACGACCAGCAGTGAAAGCAGCAGAAGGAGAGCTGTGTTATTGTAGGCGTTTAATTCAAATACGTGGTGTTATCGCACCATAACGCAGGCTTATGTTTAAATTAAAACGTCTACTTCAGCATCACATTTGATTTGGCTCTCATGCAGATTTATGACTTATTGTTGGAAATTCTCACTAAATCTTTATTATTTGCAAAGAACAGATTTCACATGTAGTTTGAGTTGGTCACAGGGCCTCCACATGTGTGATCCAAAGCTGCCCTGCAGAGGAAAAAAAATGTCAAACTGCTGCAAAAAAAACCCTTTTTCTCTTGTCTTCATTTTTTTCAAAGACAAAAAACACAAATTCTCTCTTTTTAAAAAATCTCTTTCGCCTATTTGGCGTCTAGGCTCCTGATAACCCAGACCAAAGCGCGCACAGGCTACAGTCCACTGCTCTTTTTATTTAACCACATCGCTGATTGGGACATTAATCTCCGCTTTGCGCCAACAGTCCCAGCGCCGGGGTTGGAGAGGGTTCGTTATAGTGAAACATAGGCTCACGGTGACCCCCATTGCATCAGTTGTGATGTCTGACACGCTATTAAGTTTAGACCATGCAGGAGATTTGTGGAGGCGCTGACACGGTGTTGTCGCGTCCCCTTTGACGTGTTGCTAAATGAGGCCACTCCAATTAGCGCTTTGCGGCAGGGTGAGACTGCTGCACACCTCTACAGCCTCCCGGAACAAAAAGAAAAAAAAAAAAAAAAAAAGACAGAAGAAGAGGGGGGATACATATGGTGCGTTAATGCACTGTTCAATGGAGAGGTCTTCTCGCTTACAGAGCAGCTTGTCGACATCTGCTTATCTGATGAGTCTGATAATGACTCCTTATTTAGCAATGAGGATGACCAGCCAAAGATAATCACTGACAGATTTCTACTGATCCATTCCACATCAAAATGTTTTCATCAAAGTGCATCATAAGGTGGCCTGGAGGAAAACATGGCTCAGACCAGAACTCCAAGGATTTAATTGTTTCTTGCAACATTAAGCTTGATATGAATGGATGTTTGGGGTCCATCCTGTTGCATGCTTTTCTTTTTCCCCCTGTGGTCCTCAGTTGTTAAAAATAAGTTGAAATGAACTCGATATTGTTGTGCATGTATGGCATGTGGGATCTTACTGTAAATTGGTAGCAGACCAAAATTATTTCTCACTATTTGCAATTTGGACATA